GAGTATGCCTCTTTTATAATTTTGCAAAGCCTTCTTGATTTTGTACCTTACAAAAATATTTAGTAACAAAACCGAATTAATGTTTGAATTATGAAGTGACCTAGGGACAAAACTGTGGTAGGCAGAATAGTGCCCTCCCACAAAGAAGTCCACGTCCTAATCCTCAGGACCTGTGAATATGTTATTTTGCATGGCGAAGAGACTTCGCAAATGTGTTCAAGTTGAGGATGTTGAGATGGGAAGATTATCTTAGATTATCTAGTTGGTCTTAATGTTGTCACAAAGGTCCTTATAAGTGAAAGTGGGACAGAGCCAGAGGGAGGTGTGCTGCTGGTTTTGAAGGTGTAGAAAGGGGCCATGAGTGGAGAAATGCAGAGAGCCTCTAGAAAAGCCTGGAAAATGCAAGGGAACAAATTCTCCACAAGAGGCTCCAGTAAGGAACAGTTGATTTTACCCTTACCATGACAGACTTCTCACCTACACAACTTTGTAACAAAAAATATGCATTGTTGTAAGCAATCAAGTATGGTTATTTGTTAGCGTAGCCACAGAAAACTAATAGAACAGCAAATAAAATGCATCAAGTGCTTTATGGGAAGACCTAAGTGGGACACTCAACATAAACTGGGGAGCTCAGGGAAGGTTTTCTTATACATAGGAAATAAATGGAGAAGGAGTTTCCAGGTCAAAGAGGAGGAGAAAGAACATTCTAGTCTATGGAGTTGGGGGTGGAGGGTGAGACAAGAACAAAAAAGGGAATAAGGTAAGAAACAAGAGTTGGCTTGGAGCACTACAAATCATCCAGCCTTGTTGAAAAATAATGTGGCAAAGAGGCCGGGCGCGGTGGCTCAAGCCTGTAATCCCAGCACTTTGGGAGGCCGAGGCGGGTGGATCACAAGGTCGAGAGATCGAGACCAACCTGGTCAACATGGTGAAACCCCGTCTCTACTAAAAATACAAAAAAAAAAAATTAGCTGGGCATGGTGGCGCGTGCCTATAATCCCAGCTACTCAGGAGGCTGAGGCAGGAGAATTGCCTGAACCCAGGAGGCGGAGGTTGCGGTGAGCCAAGATCGTGCCATTGCACTCCAGCCTGGGTAACAAGAGCGAAACTCCGTCTCAAAACAAAAAACAAACAAACAAAAAAAATAATGTGGCAAAGATGAAGCAGGAAGGACGGATGGGAGAGAGGGGAGCAACTTCTCTCCGTGGGAAAGGGTTTAGGCTTTCAATAAGAGCTCATGAGGAGGCAATGAAGCATTTTAAAGAATGGTGTGTGTGTGTGTGTGTGTGTGTGTGTGTGTGTGTGTCTGTGTGTGTGTGCATGTGTTAGAGGCTGGAATGACAGTAAATTTGCATTTAAAATTGCACTAAATATATGTATGTATGTATAGACACACACATGTATTTTAAATGCAAATTTAAAACAAAAAAATTTTAATACATTTAAATGCAAATTTAAAATAAAATGAAATTGCACTAAATGCACACACATGCACATGGGTGTGCGCACATACACACACACACAGAGAGACACAGACACACCCATTTTCCTTTCAGCAAATAGTCTTGAACAGAGATAAACAACAGCAATTTCAACTGTGAGCCTCCTTTCAAATGCGACAAGCCACAGGCTCTCAATATCACAAGGCAGGGTATTAGATTTACGATCAGACCCTCTTTCAACATGGGTGACAATTTTTAGTTCTTCAGGAGGGGAGACTGCATCTGCTGCTTTCTTCTGCACCTCAATCCCTCCTCTTTTTAATGGAGTGAGTAGAAGAAGGGATTTATTCAACGTGGGTAACCTGGGGGGTTTGGGGATGCTTTAGTTCCCACCTAATCTCTATCAGACCCAACCAAAGCCATTCCGAAAATTACATAATAGTAATACTTTTTCTTAATGTGGATAATCTTAAAGCATGGAGGTATACAGGTCTATAAAATTTTAAATGGTTTGTACATATGCGGTCATAAAAATAATAATCAAAGGCAATAGCTGTGAGAGAAATTCACAAACATCAATCCCCACCTCATCCCTAACCCCCCAATATCCAACCTCTGAGACACACCACCCAAGTTTTAAATTAATAATAGTTTATAAATTCTCCTGAGCTTTCCTCTGGAGGTTGCTAATATATTGTAATTCTACAGTCTTATGAATCCTGAGGATCTCAGGATCCTCACCTCTTCCCCCAGAAACATACACAAAAGTCTCAGCTTCATCTCTGACCTTGTCAATTACTTATGGGATATTGTCTCAGTTCCAGGGGCTATAACAAAATAATATAGACTAGTATTAAACTGGCTTAAACCACAGTTAACCACCATTATTTATTTCTCACAGCTCTGGAGATTGGGCAGTCCAAGATCAAGGCACCCGGAGATGTGGTGTTTGTGGGGGGCCTGCTTCCTGGTTTGCAGATGGTTGTTTTCTTGCTGTGTCCTCACATGACAGAGATCTCTTCTCTCTCTGTCTCCCTCTCTTTATAAGTCTTACTCTGTTACCCAGGCTGGAGTGCAGTGGTATACTCTCAGCTCCCTGCAGCTTCTGCCTCCCAGGCTGAAGTGATTCTCCCATGTCAGCCTCCTGAGTAGCTGGGACAACAGGAGTGCACCACCATGCTTGGCTAATTTTTGTATATTTTGTAGAGATGAGGTTTTGCCACATTGCCCAAGCTGGTCTCAGACTCCTGGGCTCAAGCAATCCACCTGCTTTGGCCTCCCTAAGAGATGGAATTATAGGCATGACCCAACATGCCCAGCTTTTTGCTGCTTATAAGGGCACTAAAATCCATTCATGAAGGCTTTAACTTCATGACCTAATTACTTTGCGAAGACCCCACTTTCACCACCGCATTGGGGATTAGGATTTCACTATATGAACTTTTGGGGGGAATACAAATCATTCAGTCCATAGCAGATACAGTGAGACTTCAGTATGAAATATTTTCCTTTAACTCTTACTTTTCTTACTAATTTTATTAAAAATAGTTGAAAGATAGAAAATGAGTTAGCTCAGCAGTTCTGAAGTACTCACTGGGCCATCCATCCTGTGTTTACTCAGCTCAACCCAGGCTAATTTCCCTCTCCAGGAAGGGTCAAGGCCAGGAAGAGAGGTAGACAGGTCTCAGAAAGCAGGCAGTGTCAAATGCTGAGCAAAAGCCAAGCTCAGAAAGAGGAAATGTGGTGTTTATGGAACCAACTTGCAAAGGCAAACATTAGCGAACCAAACAAATGTAACAAATGATTCTCAACAGCTGGATTTCTTCAATGCTTAAACTTGTAATAAACATCCATGGCTATCTTTGGAAGATGATTTTTCTGTAAATATACATACATCTATTTATATAACCTCAAGTATTAGTTAACAAAAAAATTAACTAAGAACCATCAACTTTCACTTCTCCAACTGGGTCACAATGCACAAGTTAATCTGTTAGGAAAAACAATAACATTGCTCTCTAACTGTAGTGGGAATCAGTAATTGCAGGTTTCCCAGAAGATTCTGAAAAACCCTAGGATACTGAAGGATTTGGGTTGCAGTTTTCTCAATCTGTTAAATGTTGAATCGGGGGAGAAAATATACTTTTTTTTTTAACCCAGAATCCTAAAAGTTTATGAACTTTCAGAGAAACACAAAAGCCAACCTAAAAAAGTTCCCAGTGGGCAAAGCTGGAACCATTTGAGCAACAAAATAAATAATATAGTATTGAATTATATCCCAAAGTATAAAATAAATATACATGAGTCCATACTGATGTAACAAATACTGACATAAACAAATGATTTAATAAACAAGAGAGATGGAACAAATCTTTCTTACACAATAATTCTAAATAATAATATGTAGATACTCCCTCCTCTGGGATGGAGTTTAATCTTGCCCTCATCTTGAGTGTGCATTGATTTGAGTGACTGTCATTCAGAGTAGAGTGTATGGAAAGAGAAAAACAGCTTTGCAGTAGAGAAAGCTGGCAGACGCAACCTTAACTAAGGGATCAGGGTCAAGTTACCAGCGACAAGTCATGTGGCCATCGTGCCATGGTCCCTGAGAGGATGTGATGAGGAAGGCAATTCATCTCTGTGGCTTTCATCCCCCTAGTCTCATCATAAGAAAAAAACGTTAGACAACACCCACATGACTGGGTGTTGAAGTTCCTCCACAAAACTACACCTTACCAGAATACTTTCTCATAATACTTTACCAGAATTCCTTACAGCTATCAAGGTCAAGAAAAGACTGAGAAACTGTCATGGATTGGAGGAGACAAAGGGCACAGGAAACTAAATGCAGTGTGGTATCCCCCCTGGGATCCTGAAAAGGAGAATAGTTAGCCAAAAAGCCAGTGAAAGCTACATCAAGTCTGGAGCAGTGTTAATAGTGGCAGATCGATGCTAATTTCTTTAAGAAAAATATTTTTAGTAGAAACGAGGTCTCGCTGTATTGCCCAGGTTGGTCTTGAACTCCTGAGCTCAGGCGATCCTCCCGCCTGCCTTGGCCTCCCAAAATGTTGAGATTACAAGGCCTGAGCCACCGCACCTGGCCCAATGTGAATTTCCTACTTTTGACAAATGTGCCATGGTTATGGAAGCCGTAGGTATTAGGAGACATCAGCTTAGGAGTATATAGAGGACTCTGTACTGGTTTTGCAACTTTTTTTAAGTTCCAAAAGAAAGTTTTATTAAAAACAACAACCAAAAAATGCACTTGTACTCCATAAATTTATGCCAAAAACTATAAAATCAAAAAATCATTTTAAAAACAAAAGTTTATGAACTTAGGGTGCAAATATAACCTTGTAAAGCAGCAGCCGATCATCCCCACCCCCATGCACAGCACCCTAGCGAGGGGCTTGAGGGGCAGAGTCTGACTCTCCCGCGCTGGGCGTGGAAGTCCCACGACTCCTCCCCGGAGCCTCACCGGCGCCCGGACTCTGCCCTGGGCGCGCCCCACGGGGCGGAGTCAAACCTGCGGGCGGTGCCGGCTGCACTCGCAGGGCCCTGGCAGCTGACCCTGGCCCCAAGGCCCGAACGCCCAGGGGAGGAGCAGCACTGGGACCCTGTGCCGGCTGGGCGCCCCCCAAGGTAGGCGAGTCTGGCCACCTGGGGGCCGGGTCTCTGCAGCGCGCTGCGGCATCCCCGCCGGGTGTGTGGCGTCCAGGTGCCTTTCCAGCGGCTTCCCCCAGCGGATCTCCTGGCATCAAGGACATTTCCTGTAAAAGGGTCCTTGCTGAAGGGGGTAACCCGCCCTGGAAACCTCAGTTCTTGGCTCGGATTTCTGGGCGAGACGTTTCTTCTCCCCTGGGAAGAGTCGCTTTTCCGCAGAGAGGAACCCCTCTTTAGCTGGGCGCACACCTGATTGTTCACTTAGGTTGATTTTATACAATCCGTTTATCAGGGTCCCCGCGATTTCTGCCTTCTAATTTCAGTGGCCTTGGAGAAAATCCCTTCGGTAAACGCCCTGACCTGGGAACTTCAGTATGATGACTTTGACACATTACTGCGCTCGCCTTTTTTTTTTTAAGAGCAGAGATGAATGAAGGTGGCTGTGTTCATTCATTTGGGAGGGCTTCTGCAGCTGCAGGTGCAGTAGAAAGAATAGCCCATTGCTTGACCGTTTCCTTAACGTTGTGTGGGCATCACGAGATTTTAGAGCTGGGAATTAACAGCGTGCTAGGCGGCTAGACAAAGGAACGCTCTTATCTTACTAAAAAGTAGTATGGGACCGTGCAAGTATTGTTTTCAGATTGGGTGATGACGTAGCTGTGAATTTTTAGCCTTTTCGGAAGGGAAGACAAAATTGAATGTAAGGATCAGAACAAGCAAACAAGCCCCGTACATAAGTGTCTGTTCCCCATTATATTGTAATTGTTTTATTTTAGGAACCAAAACTTCTTTTACTTTCTTGGTGTATATAGATTGGATGAAGTGTCAGAATACTAAAAGGAATTATTCTGTGTTTGTGATAGGAAGGAGATAATCTGTCCTTTTTGATTTGACCTAATGCTATTAAATATTCAGAGCTACGGCAGTCTGGTTTTCCAGAAATGTGAGCTGGGCAGGAGTGTCCGATACCCTGGATGACACAATTGGTGCTGTTGTTAAGCTTTTCCCCAGCTAGAGTGAAGGCCCCTGACACAGAGGAATTTCTGCCCAAGGCAGGGAGTATCCCCGTGTGGTTCCTCAAATATTTGCAGAAAGAATGAAAACAACTATACTTCCAGGCTGCTCTCATAAGAAGGTTCTTACCTCTTGTTGTTTACAAATAAGTTGATTCCTTGTCCTAAGTAGAAAGAGATTTTTGAAATTAGTACAGGTGCTATTTTGTGAATTAGTAATAGGCATGTTAATTAAATTAGTGATAGGCATGTTATTTGTTAGCTTATTTATTTACAGCATGCTCAGCATTGGAGGTGAGTTGTAATCCAAATTGTGGCCAAAGCTAATAAACTTAAGCTAGATTTAGACAAAGCTAAAAATTGAGGTGGACATTTGTTTGGAATAATGCCTGCAAAGGGAAAGAATTGAAGATTTTGATGGGAATGTAAAAGTCTTTTAAAGTAGTAGTTTCACATCTTTCCAATTGAGATATTTACATCCAAATTATATGACTATGTATTGACTGAAAACATTTCATAATGGCAAAATTTTACTACGAATTTACTAACGAGTTTAAATGAATGTCATTTACTAAGCACAAAAACAGTCATATATGTGAGTTTGGAAAACAAAAGAGAGAAAGAGAGAGTGAGAGAGTATGTGTGTGTACATTCAGTTTTAGAAGCTATCTGGTGCATCTGTGAATTTGTGGGCCTATTCATGTATTCATTGAAACAATATTTATTGAAAGCACTGTGTTCTGTGTGGGAGAACCAGGTGGGAGGGGAAGTGGAGTCTGGGCCAAACACAGCCCTGTATAGATAAGACACATTTCTGTCCTCCTGGAATTTACTACGTTGGAGTCTCTTCCAGGCCACCCCAAGTCAAGTTCATAGATTTGCAGACCACATCAATGATCCATTCAATTTGGACAGTGACAGAAACTAGATTAGTTTCAAATCACATATTCCCTTACACTGATTTAAATACTCAAATCTAAAAATGATAGAGGAGCTCACATGTTATTCTGCTCAGTGGTTTTCTTTTTTGTTTAGGTTGGGGAGGAACTTAGGAATCATGTGCTCCAGGTTTGATGTTATGAAATATTAACCTAAAATAGCTAAGTATCAATTCCATGCAAATTAAATAAAAACTAAACTTGTATGGCTGGCAATAATCTAGAGACAAAAATTAATGAACAAAAAATTTAAAATTGAAAATCATCTATCCATTAAATTATTTTTTGGTGTAAATTAGAAAAATGTGACTACAATTATATTTTCCCCCAGAGGAAAACAGCATCTTTATTCAAGTTATTCTTACTTTTCCTCTTTTTTTTCTTTAAACATCTTTATTGAAGATATAATTTACATACCATAAAATTCATCCAAGTGTGTAATTCAATGATTTTTGGTAAATTTACCAAATGGTACAACCACTGGCACAATCCAATTTTAGATCATTTCATCATCCTTCAAACATCCCTGGGGCCTGTTTGCAGTCACTCACCATTCTTACCCCCAGCCTCAGGCAACCACTAATCTATTTTGTCTGTTTAGATTTGCCTTTTCTGGACATTTCATACAGATGGAATCGTACAATATATAGCCTTTAGCATCTGGCTTTCTTCAGTTAGAATAGTTGTTGAGGTTTATTCAGGTTGTCACATGTATCTGTAGTTGGTTCCTATTTATTGCTTAACTAGTATTTATTCCATATCATGGCTACACTACATTTTGTTCACCATTTGGTAGATGTTTCTGCAATTACATTTGCATGGTAAACAGATACATTGGTGCAGCATACATGGTAGAATTATTTGCGAATGACTGATATGAGCCAATATCTTATTTGATGCTTTGACTCTCTTCTATAATTTTAAATATGAATGCCAAGAGTTAAACAACGAGGTTGCTATTAAGCAGTGATTTTTTTTGTATGTGTGTATAACTGTCTAGAGCAGGTGTCCCCAAACTTTTTACACAGGGGGCCAGTTCACTGTCCCTCAGATCGTTGGTGGGCCGCCACATACTGTGCTCCTCTCACTGACCACCAATGAAAGAGGTGCCCCTTCCTGAAGTGCGGTGGCCGGGGGGCGGTGTGGATAAAGGGCCTCAGGGGGCTGCATGCGGCCGTAGTTTGGGGATGCCTGGTCTAGAGAACGAACCAACGTTAAGAACTTCTTAACCTTTCCTTAGTAATTTGGGATGCTGAGGCAGGTGGATCACTTGGGGCCAGGAGTTGGAGACCAGCCTGGCTAACACGGTGAAACCCATTCTCTAATAAAAATATTTTTAAAAATTAGCTGGGTGTGGTGGCATGTGCCTGTAATCCCATCTACTCAGGAGGCTGAGCCAAGAGAATTGCTTGAACTTAGGAGGTGGAGGTTGCAGTGAGCTGAGATGGTGCCACTGCACTTTAGCCTGGACAACAGAGTGAGACTCTGCCTAAAACAAAGAAACAAACAAACAGGAACTTCTTCACTTTCCAAGAACATTGACTTTTGGTATACCCTTATTAGGAATTGGAAAACCGGAACAGCAGTTCCAAGCCAGAATTGTTTTATTGTATATCTCCATTGACCTTACTTTTTGCTAACTATTATGGCAAATGCAATTTTCAGGGGTGCGGGTCATGCTTGACAACTTATGCTTAGAGATCCTCTTAGGGGATTTCTCTAGTTTACTGAAATCCTTTTATAAAAATCTAGTCAGTTCTGTGAGCCTAAAAAGAAGACAATATCTCTCTGAGTATCTTTAAGTTACTACATAAATTGCAAGTTCCTTATGGGGAAGAAAAAAGAGCATCAGAATAACTTGAGATCTGTTTTTGTTTTTGTGTTTTTCAAGACAGGGTCTTATTCTGCCACTCATGCTGGGGTGCAGTGTCAGGATCCTAGCTCACAGAAGCCTCAAACTACTGAGGCTCCTGCCTCAGCCTCCTTTATGACTGGGACTACAGGAATGTGCCAGCAAGCTTAGTTAATTATTATGATTATTTTTTGTAGATGGGGTATCACTGTGTTACCCAGACTGGCCCTCAATTCCTGGCCTTAAGCAATCCTCCCACCTTGGCCTCCCAAAGTGCTGGGATTACAGATGTAAATCACTGGGCCCAGCCCTTGAAGTCTATTTTATTGGCAATTTAGATTGCAAAAGATTTTTTTAACATCTACAATTTGAAAAGAAGGCAATGTAGGTTAAATAATACCGTTTTCCAAAGCTGAATGTCTTCATTTGCAACTCGTTTTTTTCTGCTTGAAATGTCAAAACAACTTTCTAAAACTCCTAAGTGAGAATAGTACTACTGTTTTGATGATCTGTGTGTGATTGGATGGAGTAATCAATCTCAATTGGTAATATTCCTTTGTTTCCTTGGTAAGGATTTTTAAAATTCTAAAACAAATGCATTTTTTTCTAGCCTTACACTGACGATTTTATACCAAGTATCTCCTGAGAGATATTTACCATCTACAGAAATTCATCTTTATTGTTCTCAGTTTCATATACTCCAGGGATCAGGATCAGGGTGGAGACATTCATCATGCTATGTTGGTTCATAAAGAGGAAGAAGGCTTGATTAGTATTGAGCTGTTAACGCCTGCTATTTATTTTGATGAGGTCACTTACATTGTTGTGATCTGATACAGGAACTTTGTTTTACCCAAAATGAGAAGCTGCCTCTGACTCTTCTATCTTTCTATTAACACCTGGATTTTGGTAGGACGCTGCTCTTGGATAAGTCAAACATCTTCATGGTGTGGGAGGGTGGGCAAAGGTGGTGATGAAAAGTAGGGTCGTGGCAGGGCGTGGTGGGTGGCTCACGCCTATAATCCCAGTACTTTGGGAGGCTGAGGTGAGCGGATCACCTGAGGTCAGGAGTTTGATACCAGCATGGGCAATACGGTGAAACCATTTTTAGTAGTCTCTACTAAAAATACAAAAATTAGCTGGGTATGGTGACATGCACTTGTAGTTCCAGCTACT